TGCCTCAATCTGCATTTAATACTCTGATGAGGGGCATCGAATCAGCATGCCGTGCATTTAATGTTCTGATGAAGTGGTACTGTGTCTGCATACAACGCATTTAAAGCGCCTGGCTGGCACTTATTGTTAGAGTCATGAAAGTGACTCTATTTCGTTGATAAAAAGATCTCATATGTAATTGAATTGAAGTTATATTGAGACAATTAAGAGAAATTATGAATTTATATATAAAAATCATATTTTGAGTTTTTCTTACTAATTTAGCATATTTGGGATGAATTTGGAAATGGTGTGAGTTGATATTAGGTTGTGGTTTATGGATTAGGGGTGATTTTGTCTCATTTATGCTATTCAGGCGGTAAAATGTCATGTTTCAAGGGGATGATTTTGTCATGTTTCAATCGTGTAGGGACCAAATGGAAATTTTCCAAATTTTGTATAAAACTCCAGTGCAAGTTCGTAGACCAGGTGGTTGCCGCCCACCAAAACTCTTCACCTTCTCCGATCAAGCTCCGACGACCCTTCATCTGTTAGTGTATATTAGTGTATGCCCTAGAAACTATTCGTGTTGTCGGTTTCAGAGCATTTTGTCTTGTATATATATATATATATATATATATCTATATATTAGAAGAAAGAGTTCTTCAATTCATATATGTAAATTGCTTCCTTTATTCAGTCATGCATTTAAAATAAGTATGTATATGAATTGTCCAGATGATTCATTTAATAGGTAAATGAATTATCGAAAAGGGTTCCCTATTGAAGCAATATAAATTTGGGCAACTATATTGCACAGTAGGCATACGGATGCTTTCGAAAGATATCATGAGTTGATATAAGTACGGATGACGATGATAGTCATGTCCCTGGGGCATTGGATGGATTAACAGTTGGTGAACTGTTTTTCGAACGTGACCGAATAACAACAAATCACTTGGAAAGCATGTAGTCAATGATTTATCGTTTGGTTATATCAGTGCACGATGTGTCCTTGACCTGAGACATTGTGTCGGATCCGATATGGATGCGTAGGTTCATACGGTGTATAAGTACAGACTAATCATGTTTCGTACAATAAAGCCTATTTGGTCTGCGTTATTCATATGCGGAAACGAACGATGGTCAAGAGGGATCCATTGACTGACGAATATAGGATCGGGAGTACCACTGACTCCATCTGGATTCGAGTTCCTAGATGAACATCGATAAATGTCAGAAAACGGAATCTTGGGCAAGTCTATTATTAGTCATACAAAAGTAGTTTGTGATGACAAGTTCCGGACATATTGATCGACAATTCGTTAGAAGACGAGTTTAGGATTTTGTCGTTCCATGAATCCAACTCGATTAGGATATCTCAATGGAGGGACTTTACCTGCATGGTACGTATGATTTGAAATGGTTGATGAAGTATTTCTTCATCGTGGTTTAGGGACTATGGCACATTGCTAATGTTTACCATAGTCGTGGGCCTCTGGACAGGTTTTCGGATTCATCCAGAACCACTCACGGCTAACCACGGTGGACCTACATGGTCACACCAATAGCCTTGAGAAGTTAGAGAAGGATGAGAGAGAGAAATGATTATCCGAAAGGGGCTAGCACCTTCCGAGGGTAATAACAGGATTTCTATAGTAATAGTTACATAGAAATCATTTGTGACATTTTAAGGGTTAAAATGGTCAAGCAATAATTAATTATATTTAATTATTATATCTTAAAGTGATAAGATTCATGAGATGAACAAAATTAACCTTTTAATAGTTAAAGGGTAAAAAGGATAATTTTTGGGTGTTATGTAAACTAGTTTAGTTTACATGAGCCCTTGAATATATTGATTATTCAAAGGGTAGCATATTGAATTCGTGGGGTCCCTTTATAAAATAAGATTTTATGGGCTTGGAAGTGAAAAATAATAATTACAATATTGCCCAAGTATATAAAGTGCAAAAGGTTACATTTTTGTTCATTCTTGACTAGTTCACAAAACACAAACCAAAACTCTCTCCCAAACCCACGGCCACTCTCTAATCTCTCAAGTGGTTGTTAAGTGTGGAGGTTTTATCCTTTTGAAGCTAATCTTCATCAATCCAAAGCAAAGGAGTAGGTATATTTCTTCTCAAGCTTTGTTTTAAAACCGTTTTCTTGAATCCATTTTTTATGCTTTCTTCTCCATTTCCACCACTCTTCATGCATGCATGCTGTTCTTTCATCTCTTCATTTCCGCGACGTTTCGGCTTCCCCTTGCTCCGGTCACCATCATCCCGTCACACCACCGTGAAACACGCACGCCACCATGAGCTTCATCTTCCCACCGCGATGCTTCGCATTCTTGGCCAGATTTCGCTGTTTTTCGGCGACGTTTTGGCTCCCCAGGACTGGATCTCCCTTCCCCGCCCGAATCTCACTTCCCTAGCTTCAACTGCCGCGAAAACCGCCAGAATCTGCTACTTTGCTGCCACGCCTCTTCATCTTCCAGCCTAGATCTTGCTCATTTCCAGCAACTTCTCACCTCCCCAGGACCTGATCTGAACTCCCCATCACCAAAGCTTTCCATCGGTACCTTCGGATCCCTTTCCACCACTTTTCAGGAAGACCCCGGAAAATTAACGTTTTCTGACAGATGCGGCTGTTTGTATTCCGGGCTACCGTTGGTCATTTTCAGCCCTTCTTCGCATCATATCATTGTCGATTACCTCCTCTCCACCGATCAGCTCGTTTCCATTGTTTCAGCATCTGTCATCACCACCATGAGCGGCTGAGTTCCTGGTTGTCTGTTACGGTGTGGCGAGATCGAGATTGACTCCATTGATCTCCTCATCAGCTCTCACTAGTTGGATGAGCCCAAATGTTGGACATTTGGTTAGTTTCTTGTATTCAGATTGTATTTGTTTTCGTTTCAGTTTTTTTGTGATGCTTTAATATTATTCTGATGCTCGACGTGTTGAATTGATAGTCCATTGAGAACGTTTATTGATATATTTTTCGCATAATTGAATGTCGGTTTGAGATTATTGAATGTTGATTATGACTTTAAATTCTTCGATACTGATGTAATCAAGTTGTAGTAGCGTTTAATATCATTTCTACTAGGAATGCATTTGTTTTGTTTAGTTGATTGGATATACAGGTTGATAGGTTTACTTGTTAAGTTGTACCAACTAGTGGTGTTTAAGGGTTTAGCGTTTTTCGGTTAGTCAATGATAGTCTTTAACCCATCGATCTGTACTAAGACGGGTAGACAGGATAGATTATACCTAGCTTGCTAGAAGCCATTTCATTGATTTGCCTAGCCTTGTAAATTAGGAAATTGAAGAGCGAGGAGAGGAATTGTGAGAGTTGGTCTTGAGTCAAACCGAACCCGTAGCGACAACGCTTTTATATCGTGTTTTAGTTAGCAATTTATTTAATGCTTTTAATTTCCTGCAAGTAATTAGTTTCCTTAGTTTTAATCAATCATTTGCCAATTTCTTCGTTAACTCAAATATACATTAGGTCGTTAGTCTTGCTCTTTGTGGATTCGACCCTGCTTACCGCTAACTATGATATTAGGTTTAATTTTGTGACCGTGACGACAGGTTCAACACTTATCACGCGCAGGACACATCTGTCGCATAGGGACTGCTTCTTAAATGCACCCATATCAAAAGCACAACAGGTAACTCCTGACGAAATCAGGTCACTCATCCTCTGCGAACAATGACCATGCGAGGAAGTGTTTGCAAAAAGTGCTACTCCGGCCTCCTTTCAACAGGTCGGGATCACCAGAATTTCCAGAAATCATCCAATCGCGGCATGACGTAGTTTCCAAGGTTCGATCCTCAAACCTTAAAAACTAGGGGACTTCTGTTATGCCTAAAAAATATAAGGGCTGACGTAAAGTCTAGTCAGCATGCAAGAGTCAGATCATAGGTACACCCACTGCCTGCTTTTGTCAGAGTAGTGGGTGTGCGCCAGACCAACCAGAAGCTGTGATGATCCCACGTGTCCAATCCCTACTCTAAATCGCGCAAATCACTTTGGAAGGTGGGCAATGTGACATAAAGAAGGATTTGCACAGATAATCCCACCAACTTGCAGATTCAATAATCATTAGCTTTAGACATCTCACTATAAATTGAGAGCTCCTCCCTCATTAAGGGGATTCGCATGTTTTACATTTGATTAGCTACTCTCTCTCTCTCTCTCTAGAATTTTCAGCATTTGATACCTTGTATTACCATTGTAAAGTCAGTCAGCTAAAGCGACCTGACCCTTATCATCAATATAAGCATCAGTGGACGTAAGACTTGCTACCTTAGCATCCGAACCACTTTAAAAATTGTCCCTATTGCATTTATTGTCATTTTTCTTTACATTCACGTGTACCTTTTGGACCAGCTCAATATTTCGCACGTATATTTTGTTGGTGTAAAAATCACACATCAACATATGAAGATATACTTCTTTTTTCCATAACAACGTGGATGAAGAATCTTCCAAGATGGAACCCATGTGTTCCCTGACCATTTGTACCCAATCTTCGAACAAACAAATCAATTAATTAATCGGTAAAAGGAAAATATTGTGGAAACATATATTCGCAGATGTTGTTTGCGAATATGTGTTCATGATCAGTGCCGATTATTGTTCATAATTTTAAGTAAACTCATCCAACCAAAAGTGAGATAATAAAGCAAGTCGATGATAAAGCAACCTCAGAAGCTTTATCATCATTAGAAATTTTTTATAAAGGCAATTTGGGACACATAAAATAAAAACAAAAGACAAACCTACCGTGTCGATATTCAGCAATGAAGAATTGAAATGTTAATTTTTGTCAGTCTACATGTTCTTTCCACTAACAATATTTACTTTATAAATTCTTTCTCTAAGATTGTATTGTTATAAATAGTACGGAACTTGTTAAAATGCAAGATACATTCATCCTCTACCCGATGTCCAGTTTATTATAAGTCTTCTTCTTCATATAGGAGCTGGCTACATTACTCAATACCATGGCTAGTTCACGTGTTGTGACAATGTTAATGCTCTTCTTTATCGTATTTTCTTTGTTCTTCATGAGCTTACAGGCACGTATTCTTCAGGGGAATTACCAGGCCATGCAAGGTAATTTTAACAGCCACATACTTCTGCATGATCTAGGTTTTGATCTGACCAAACTTAAGCGTTATCAGAAGCTGTACAAACTCGATGCAGCAGGTGATAGAGTCTCACCAGGAGGACCGGACCCTCATCATCATGTATAAGTTTTAATTAAAATGTAATATATCTATTTTTTTTTTTTTTTTTTTGGTAACTTGCGACTAGCTTATGTGTATCTCAATTAATCTCTAGATTTATTGAACACTTTATAAGTTCAAAGAATCAAGTAAGTCACAATATTATTGTATTAAGTAACCTCAAGATTTAAACTTAAAAACTCAAGAAAATGAGTAAATCTCATTTACTGTTAAACCAATCTCTTGAGGATAATGTCATCTATCTTTTCGACTTCCTTTGTTTTAATTCTCTTTTTCCCTGTTATCATATATACGGTTTTTAATATCTTGATCATTATATGCTACATTATAATCTTTTCAAGTTTTAACATGTTAATTTATTCTCTAAATCTAAAGGGAGCAGTGGGAACTATATGTCCTTTCATATAACAAAAACGCTTGCCCATGACTGAATTCAATGCCACATCAGCCATGGCCAGCATATCTATGTGTCTCAATTTGCCTTCATAAACAGAGTAACACTATACTCATTAATTTTTTCTCATTAATGTTACATATCAGCTTATAATTTATTAATTTATATGGGTTTTATTTATCTAATAATAAATTTTATTCAATCAAATTAATCACAAACTCTCATATGAGATTAATGAGAGGAGTTAATGAGGTTAATATTATTGTAAATGTAGAGACGGACAAAACATATAACTCTCCGTGCTGAATACTTGAGACGGCAAGATTGTCTTTTGTTTTAATTTTTTATGTCTCCGAATTGCCTTTATGAATTGTTTTCTAATAATGACAAAGCTTTATGGGGTTGCCTTATAAGAATCCAATTCTTATGTGGGTTGGGCCTGGGACTTCGAGGTGGCGTTTGTTCCTGTAAATTTGGTACTCAAATCTATTAATCATTTTACAAACGTATTATAGATTCAAATCTATTAATTAATGATAGACAGATTGAGTAAAGTTCATGAGCACGAAGTTTAAGCATTCACACCCAACACTCAAATTACATGTGCAAGATGTTCCCTCTGGCAATCGTTATTAGTTTGGCACTTATTTGGTACATCTCTTTGCCTCAATTGCTCTCTAAACGCCTTTATTACATCATATCATCAGTTTCAAATAAAGGGTCTAATATTTTGTTTATTTTTTAATTTATAAAAACAATTATAAACATGGGCTAAAACGTATAAAGTAAATTAGAAACCAAGCTTCAGTGATATCTTCTACATCTCATAGCTATTGTATTCAATGTATTAATGTTATCCAAACGGACTGTTGACCCATGGTTATAGAAAATATAACAAGTACAGAATTAAATAGTTGCATTTTTTATTTTTATTTTACTTTTTAAAATCCTATTCTTGAAATATAATCGACAACATCTTCTTTATATTATATATAATAGTGATATAATAGATTACATTACACATTTCCAATCACTAGTCTTTAGGCTTATCTTGGTTGGGCCACATAAATAGACTGTATGTCACTGCAATCTATAGACATTTTATACTTGAGGATTATTAAGAAAGATTAAGCAATAAGAAGAAAAATATTATATTAAATCATGATCAACTCGTAATGCAAACAAGTGTTTGCTACATTATTTGTTTCTTAATTAGAGGAGTGTAATTAATGATAGACGGATCGAGTAAAGTTCCTCAATTCTAGGGTATAAAAGATGTTTATGTATTTATGGATTGATATTTTATACCATGTATTGGATGATTTCCTTTCCTTATGGTTGGTATCAAAATTTATAGGATATTTTAATTTCATGGTTATATATTTACGGATTGATTTTATACCATGTAAGGCTCAGGCTTGACCTTATAAATATAGCCTTATTTCATTATTAAAAAACAACCCTCTCTAATTCTCTCTCAATTTTCCTCTTCTTTGTACTAAATTCTTTCTTTTTCTTCCCTCATTCCTATCAACTTGTTTATTGTTATGTTGCGGGCTGTTTTCATCCAAAATTAAAGAGTCTCGAAAGATTAAAAGAAAAAAATGTTGACCTAAATATATGATTATCCAAAGAAGGGACACAAATAAATACCGGTAATGTTGTTAGTTGATTGCACAGTGGTATTCATGTAAGAGTAAAAACTTAATTTACAAATTATCATCATTATTCTGTAAAATGCAGAATAATTATTACATACGAATAATTATTACATACCTTTGTTTGGACCTAGTGTAATTCTTGCTATTGATATTCGTGTGATTCACTCCAAAATGATCAATGGACTAAATTTACTTTAGAATTTCTAAGTGTTTTTCTCAAACTATTAATTGGGAAAACCAAAACGTAAATTTATAATCACCACCGAGAACCCTAAGTGGTTACCAAGTAGTTACTCTTCCTAGTATATTCACTTCCCTGGAAGTGGATTGTAACTATCCATAACTAAGTGACAGTCAATGTGCCACTTACATTCTCCCACTAGACCCATTATTTGCCACGTGATATAAAAGAATGAATTAACTTTAATGTGTGGTCATACATAGAACTTTAGTTCACTCTTAATGGGCTCATCACAGCTATGATGAAAGTACAAGTCATAAATCATGATAGTGTATGCCCTATTACAAGAATACACCCTTCCATGCATTATATGAATTGTTTATTTTATAATGAGTAACAACCAAACTTTATAGAATAAAATTCAATAAATTATTTTTGGGTCAACTTTATTGTCTTAAACAAAATAGGCATCTGTCATTACCAAAACTATATGTATACACAAAATTAATAACAAAAAACTTTAATTGAAATTGTCAAATTTACATTTGCAAAGTATTAGAAAGAATTATTAATACAATGATTTACATAAATCCATATGGTTACATGAGCCACATACACCTTGGGTGGAAGGGATCAATGATCATATCATTTATGTCAATATGTTGAATCAATACATGACGATCTCAAACATCTTCATTAACAACGAAATATTTTATTTTGATGTGACGACATCAACTTACTGAAAAAGTGTTGTTAGAGAACTAACAATTGTTGTATTATCACAAAATATTTTTATTGATCTTTGTATTGATGAGACAACCTTTAAATATATGATAAACTATCTTAAACACCATGCATGAGAAATTGCTTCATAACACGCTACTCTTCAGCTTCCACTGTGGAAGAAGTTGTCTTCAGTTGTTTTACATTACGCCAAGATACTCCTCCTCCAGCAAGGAGAAAAATGAAGTTTGGGGTAGACTTTCTTGTGTTTTGACATCCAGCATAAGCCTGAAATCAGCTTTTATATAACAGTGCTTGCCATTTGCTTTCCAAATTTCGTGAATTAGGCAACCACTGTTGTCAAATAATCAATGGTCTCAATGCATTCAGGAATAGAACCTCTAATGCTCTTGAAAACGTTTGCTTTAATGAACACTAGACTCAGACGGTTCAAGCATTCCCAATTATTCCAACATTGTACATAAAAATAAATAATCCTTGTAGAGACTATTTATTTAAACGCACTAGTTGCAAATTACAATAATGTCATACATATATCATTGCATCAATTTATAATTACAAATAAGAAATTTATATAATTAATGTGGCTGAAATTTACTAACATAATGTTGGGCCGTAAAATTGAAACCCATTTTAATTTTTCTAAAGGAGAAGAAAACTAGGCTTGAAATCGGTAAAACTCATTTCTGCCTCTTGAAACCCATTTCTCAATTTTTTGGGCTGGGCAGAAATGAAAACTAGGCCCAAAACTGCTTCATGAAACCCATTTAGTGGGCTGGGCAGAAATGCAAGTTGGATCGCATTTCTGCTTCCTTAAGCCCATTTTTTTGTTTTTTGATAATCGGGTTGTTCGGGTTAGCTTGTACGCACCTCAACTAATCCCTGAACCCATTTGAATATCCTACCAGCCAAATGTTATAGGTAACTCACAAATATGATAAGTGACCCTAAAGTAGATAGAACCCAAAAAGTCAATGAAATGAACAAACTTTCTATAAGCTCGTTTGAATGGGTTGGGCAGAAATGAAAAAATTGGACCCAAAACATAATCTATCAACTCGTATTATAGGAGTGGCATAACTATAAATTTTTCAAATATATATTATGCATTTCTCAATTAAGAAAACAACATAACATATTATAACGCACCACATAAAGTATATCAGTGTCAGCCAAATGACATGTATATGATTACAATAAATTCCTGAATACCAAAATAACATGTTCAATCATTTACATAATTTTCCCGAATTTAAAAACAATTTTTATAATTATTTAGACACTTTCAAATACCCCCACACATTCTGGAAAATTACAAATCAAATATTCACATGTAGATCCATCAACCAACATACCAGAAATGTAAATAACATCCTCAAAATATGTTTACAAGTCACATACTCTTTGAGAGTACGAAATTATAGAATATCTCATAAATATATAATAAATACTTAACATGTTTAGAAAATTCCAGAAAAATATAGCTACACATAACATTCAATTTTAAGTATTTTATTGAAAGCAGCGTCAAAATCCGACATTTCTATGGCAAGGAGTAGAGGTGGAAAAGCAGCTTGGCCCAACCCGACCCGAGTTGCGCAAAGTGGTCGGTCGGTCCTGACCCGCCCCACAACATTTGCAGGCCGGGTTAGGCCCGCCAATGTTGGGGAATTGACTAGCCCAAACCTGGACCGCCAACCCTAACCCGCCGGGTTAGGCCATAGGTTGGGCTGGGTTAACTCTCTTTTTTATTTTTATTTTTTTATTTTTTTTAAGTTTAAATATTTAATTAACTTTTCAAATGAATAATTAACAATTTATAAATGAATAAATGTAATTGTTTTTAGTTAAGTGTTAATTTCTTTTCAAATATCAATAATTAAATTAAATTAATTTTTTTTTTTTTGTTAACATTCCCAATATTAATTCAATTTTAATACATTAAAATTGTAATATAAGAATAATTAAATTTATTCATTTATTAAAAAATAAAATAAGAAATTACAATAATTATTGCCTCGTTAAA